CTAAGCCACTGGTCTCTAGACTGCTACCATTCATGCAAATTCATTTCATGTCTTCTATAAAATTCAGCATAAGGACAGAGACATGTCCGACTGTCTAGATCCGTGAGATGTTTAGAGCCGTGTGTCCCACAGTAAGGTCCAATGGGGCATCCTTGGGAAGAGTACCCCTGACATGACCTATGGAGGCTGAGGACTGGGAAGAGAGAAAGGAACTTTCCTCTTGCTATTCTCAGAATCCTATCCTTGTTTTCCTAGGATACAGATGGAAATGGCCCCTGCCCTGGGCTCTGAAGATCAAGAAAGGCAAGAATACTGAATCATCCTTGTCGTTCAGTCTCACACATAATTTATCCTAGTTTTCGTCGCACAATAGGATAGAAGAGGGGGTGGTTAGACTTCACTTCCCACTTAACAGCGTTTAGAATCATCCGGGAGGGCCATCTGTGGGCATGGATGTGAGGGCATTTTCAGAGTGATTAACAGAACGGGGGAGGTTGCTGTCATTATGACCACAATACTTGACAGAAACATAGGAAGAAGGATGTGTGGCCCATGGTTTCAGTCCCCAAGGTGTAGAGGAGTCGGTCACCTGGAGCACGTGGCACAGGCCGCTCTCATCACAGCAAACTAGGAAGCAGAGAGAGCAAGACAGGAGCTAGACCCAGACTATAATCTTCAAAGCATGACCCTAACCCCGGTGGCCACCTTTCTCCAGCAAGGGCCCACAGCCTCCCACACCACCCGCTGGGGAAAGACGAGCTGTGGAGGTGCGGTCAGACTCACGTTGTGGCAGAGATGTTTTCAAGCAGTGTGAGCCCTGGGTATAGGTGGGGAGGAGCGAGGAAGCACCAGAGGCCCGCAGAGGAATGTGAGCTGGTCCCTCCTCCTCATTTATTAGCGTTTTGTTCTCACTGACCTCCGCCCTCAGGCGTGCTGAAAGGGGATGACCAGTTCCAGTCTGACCTAGCGCCTGAAACATCTCTGAATGGGGACAGCGTGCGTGCCATGGGTGGAGAGTTGCTCATGCCATGGGCCAGACTGTGACTCCGGCTTTCCCCTCCATTTTGGATGCTATGTAATTAGAGGGATATCTTGCCTGAGTGAGCAGGCAGACTGTTACATGAGGTAATGGCTCGGGAGATGATTTGTGTTACCTTGGTGATGGACAAGAGGAGACATATTTGGCTAGAAGAGAAGAGACATCACAGCTGGGCTTGAAAGGACCTCAGGTGAAGGGCAGAAACAAAGAGACACAGTGAGTGAGGACTGAATGTCAGCAGTGAAGAGATGATGGCAGGTGCTGCCTCCCTTCTCCCCGGGAGCCCTGGGTGAGAACCACAGCATCCCCATCCACAAGAAATAATGTGGCAATTAAAAAACGTCTGCCTAGGTGCAGTGCTAATGAACACAATGCCCCTGTTTTAGAAATGAACACTTTTTCCTGTAGTCATGTCATATAAGCGTGGCTTGGCATGGCATTTAAGAGTTAGAATGTTGGCCTCTAGGTGGGAGCCTGGGGAAAACAGAGAGAGGATGTTTAAAGGGTAAATAGTGAAAAGGCTCCAGAACATTAGAAAAAGCCCAGCACAAGTCAACATGGTATGGAACACAACACTGTTGGCAAGATAGAAGACCAAGCCTCAAAAAATTCAAAAGGATAGAATGATTACAGAGTCTGATTTCTGCAACAGAATTAAATCAGAAATAATACAAAAGTCTCTGGAAACCTCCTGCAGGTGGTTGAAAATCAAACATAAAATAACCAACAAATGAAAGAGGAAGTCCTGCCAGTCATGGTGGCACACAGATATGCTGAAGAGGCAGAGGCAGGAAGATCATGAGTTCCAGGCCACCCTGTGCTGCATTAAAAGTAAGTAAGTAAGTAAGTGAGTAAGTAAGTAAGTAAGTGAGTAAGTAAGTGAGTAAGTAAGTAGTGAGTAAGTAAGTAAAGGAGAAAAGAAAAGAGACAGAGGAAGTCAGAACAGAAACTAGAAAACAAAGTGGCCCTCCCCTCTTATAGGATAGACCCTAACAAGGCCAGTTTTTTGTTTGTTTGTTTTTTGTTTTGTTTGTTTGTTTGTTTTCCAGGGACAAGTTTGCTAAGACTTCTGCCCCATATTATCCCATCGTCCTATGTTGACTCATGTCTGGCTTCAATTAGACCTTCAGGAAGTATGTCCAGTCTAGTAGCCAATCAGGGTCCTACCTGGCCACAAACAGGAACTGTTCTTGCTATTTTCAGTCAAACAGACTCCTGACACAGCAAACAGACCCCTGACAGACACTGCAACCACATTTGCTGACCAATGTCATGAGCTAATCATAAGATGATTCCTGTACCAGTAAGGGTCTACACCCAATCACTTCAAAGTGCACTTAACCACGCCTGGAATTCCCCTAATTCTGCTTAAAAGGAGCCTGTGAGCTTCTCTCGGGGTCGCCATTTGCCAGTTTGTTGGATGGTTTGACCCCAGCATGCTAGATTTTTTTTTATTAAAAGCTCTTATTGATTGCATACATGACTGGTAGTCTTTTATGGGACTTCTCATGGACCATAAGAGAAAATAGTCTGAACGTTGAAGCAACATATCAAAATCTATGAGACACAGCTAAAAATGTTCTGAAAGGAAAGCTTACATCATCACGTTTGTAGTAGACAATGAGAAATATCCTAAACCTCTGAACTAAATCTTCATCTTAAAAGCAAACCTCAAGAAGGATGCAAAAACCATAAAAGCACATCCTGATGTAAATCAAAACAGTAAGATAATGGGAAAAAAATCAAGGAATTGCTAACTTCCTTTGAAAAAATAATTTAAAAAAAGGCAAACAGTGAGGCACATATGAAAGATGCTGGAAAGAGAGCTCTCAGAAGAGAAAGCCTAGCGTAGCTTCCAGGGCCCTGGGGTTCAGGAGAAGGACTTCCTGCAAAGAACAAAAAGGCAGGCAGAGTGATAAGGAAAATGGATTTCAGATTCCTACATGGTGAGAGGTGTTGTTGAAAATGAATAGAACTGTAAATTAAATGGGATAAGTGCTTCTGCATATAAATTGAACCTCAGTAAACTTCCCTTTCACTCTTCAAAGAAAGGATTTTGTTTATGTGCTAGGACAACACAGTGAAGACGAGGGCCAAGTGAATGAGAAAAGTCTTGTTCAGATGGAAGGATGGCTAGTTAATTCAAGGTAGAAGGAAGGTAGAGAGGAATGCTTTTATGAGAGCACAGAACCCACCAAGCAGGTGAGGATGCCCATGAAAAAACAAAAGCATCTTCACTGTATCCTGGGAGATTCAGGAATTTAGAAGATGCAACTTAACCCAACTGCAGCTACCCTAGACCTGAGGCAACTGGAAAGTGTCACATGAAAATGTAGGCAGAATTCCAGGCACATCCTCAAGATGGCTGTGCTGGCTATTTTTATGTCAACTTGACACAAGCTAGGAAGAGAGACTCTCAACTGAGAAAAAAAATGCCTTTCTAAGATTGGGCTGTGGGCAAGTCTGTAATGCATTTTTCCCATTGGTGATTGATGTGGGAGAGCCCACCTCACTAGGGGCAGCACCACACCCACCACGGCCAACTCAAGCAAGCCAGTAAACAGCATCCCTCTGAGTCTCTGCTTAGATTCCTGCCTCCAGGTTCCTGCCTCAGTTCCTGCCCTGACTTTCCTCATTGATGGAGTATGACCTGAGACTTGTAAGGTGAAATAAACACTTTCCTCTTCTTGTTGTTTCTGGTCAAGGTGTTTTATCACAACAATAAAAACCCTAACTGTCTTGGTTTCTGCCATTCAGTTTGTGATGGTGTGGGTATGTACCAATAGGAAGCCACTTATGACTGACTATAGAATTCAAATGAGCTTAGTCAATGATAATACTGTCATGGTTTTGACCAAAAGAGTTTCTTAATAAATAGCACATCAGTTTTAGTGACTTATTGGCCATTCAATAATGAGCATCACACAACTAACATTATGGTGAAAAGAGACTAAGTCAAGAGTGTGTTTAGAAAACCACTGGTATCAATTCCATTCAGAGGTGGCCAGGAAGCCATCATAGGCTGGTGGAGGAGCATCTGTGGAAGATCCCATGCATGCAGCCTGGTCTCCTCACATTGACATCCCCTTCAGACTTCCCTTCTCCACCTCAGATGATGACTACAGAGAACCAAGTCTCCCCACAGGATTGGATTCTCTCCTACAGGGCTCCAGGACCAAGAATAACACTGAGCATGAGAGCACTTCGGTCTTCACTGGACTTTCTTCACACTGACCATCATCTTTATTCACATGGACAAATACGGGTGATAAGTTTTGAAGTCCCGGTTATTGGATATCCATCACCACTGATGTAATAAGCCAATCAAACCAAATTGATAAATCCAGGTTTAGTGAACAGAGCAAAGTAACTCCCCTGGGTGACCCTCAGGAGGGCAGAAGAGGAATCACATGGCAAATACCATGGCCAGGTCTTAAGTAGTCTGTAGGTGTGGTCTTGAGCAGCCCTAGGGAGGGGCTAACTCTTGGTGGGCTTTCTGAGGGGCAGAGTTTGGAGGGGGCAACTCCAGTAGATATCCAGCAGACATCATTCTCAAAGAGTCTTTCCACATATTTGAAAATAGAAGAGTATTGCTTAAATTCTTATAATTGTCGTTGTATTCTTGTACATTAAAAAAATTATACTCAAGCTGGGCGTGGTGGTGCACACCTTTAATCCCAGCACTCAGAAGGCAAAGGCAGGTGATCTCTGAGTTTGAAGTGAGCCTGGTCTACAGAGTGAGTTCCAGGATAGCCAGGGCTACACAGAGAAACTCTGTTTTGGGAAAAAAAAAAAAAAAAAACAACCAAAAAACCAGTAATAACAAAAACTATACTCTTAATTTTCACTTCAGTGTTTAGACAGAAGACTCTTCATTTTTATAACTTTACTAGTTCTTTTGTTCTAAGGAATTTTGAGTTCTAATAATTATGCAATAAAAATAGAACATGTAATGACTTACCTTGTAACTTTTTAGTCTGATGAAGTCCACCTTCATAGAGACAAATCGATCTGAATTTCGGCTGATGTTCTTAAGGTGTTCTACAAGATCAGCACAGAATTTATAACCTCCTTTCAGCACACACAGGACCAGAATATCATGGTAGCCTATGTCTTTCATTATATCTTTAGCCAGCCGCTCAATTCTGAAAAAAAAAGTAAGAAATAAAAGATACATTAAGGTGCACCTAATAAACAGTAAGAATGTTTTATACAGATCGGAACACTCAGGTGAATATAGAGAGAAGCTTAGGAAACAGAAAGCTCCAGGCAGATAAGTCCTGTTAAGGCGAAAACAAAGTATGCTGTGGAATAATTCTCTTGTACACTGAGAAGATTTGTAACTTGAATTGATTTAATAAAATGCCAACTGGCCAGTAGTCAGGCAGGAATTATAGGTGGGGCAACCAGACTAAGAGTGCTGGGAAGAGGAAGGGCAGAGTCAGGAGTCACCAGCCAGATGCAGAGGAAGCAAGATGAGAATGTCATACTGAGAAAAGGTACCAAGCCACGTGGCTAAACATAGATAAGGATTATGGGTTAATTTAAGTGTAAGAAGTAGTTAGTAACAAGTCTGAGCTACCAGCTGAGCATTTATAAGTAATATTAAGCCTCTGAGTCGATTATTTGGGAAGTGGCTGCTGGGTATTTGGGAGTTGCTGGTGGGACAGAAACTTCTGCCTATAAAAGTGTTTAGAACATACTTCTAACAGTGATATCACAGCTCCTGTATTTTGTAAACAGTGACTATTAGCGATCATACATGCCACATATCATTCTATCATTACAAAACCTGCTTGTCAAATTTTAAAGTGTTTTGATGGTGTTTAGTGATATCTTCATTTTATAGCAAAGAAAGTAGAAATAGAGAGAGTGCTGATTGGTTTTTTCGCTAACTTGATACAAACCTAGACCTATGCGGGAAGCAAGAATCTTAATTGAGATAATGCCTCCATAAGATTGGCCTGTAGGCAAGTCTGTGAGGTACTGTTAGACTAATGATTGATGTAGGAGGGCCCAGATCACTGTGGGTGATGCCATCCCTGAGCAGCTAGTCCTGGGTTATATCAAAAGCAGGCTGAACAAGCCAGGAGGAGCAAGCCAGCAAGCAGCCTTCCTCTGTACTCTCTGCTTCAGTTCCTGCCTCCAATTTCCCACCCTGCTTGAGTTCTTGTCCTGACTTTCCCCAGTAATGGACTGTTACCTGGAAGTATAGGGAGAAATAAATCCTTTCCTCCCCAAGTTGCTTTTGGACCTGGAGTTTTATCACAGCAAAAGAAATCCCAATACAGGGAGTGATTCTCTCACCTTATACTGGAAGAAAAGTCAAGTTCAACATAACCAAAACAATAACAACAACAACAACAAAGCCATATATTCACCAAAGGAGCACACCACATATGGGAAAGCTGCTCCCATACAACACCAAGAGGTGCAATAAAGGATGAAATCCAATATGGAGGATGCTCCCTGGAGGCAATGAACAGGCCTTGGCCTGCCCCTGGCAGCTCACTGGAACTGTCTTCACAGGTTTCTACTCATTCCATGTCTACAAGGGCATAGCTACTCCCCACATAAAACTAAAAACTTAAACAGAGGTAGGATCTCAAGCATGTACTTCAAAAAAAAAAAATCCACACTAGCATTTAAAGTTGGATTAGATTAAAACAGACAAACTGAATTATGTATGTATGCACACACAATTTTATAATCTCTATATTCTAAATATGTGGTATAGATTCTATATTACACTTTCTAAGTGTTCATATATATGCACACATGCTATGTTTTCAGGTAGTGTTTATCTAAATTTGATCATGCAAAGATTGTACATCAGGATATCTGGCATGATTTTACAAAGAGGCATTTAAATTTATAATTTTTCATTACATTTATTTATTTAGTGTATGAACACATGTGTGCATACATACCACAGTGTGTATATGTGTGTGTATGTGTATGCACACACATGCATGTGTATGTGGGGGGTGCTTGCATGCATATATATGTATATGTATGTATATGTATATGTATATGTATATGTATATGTATATGTATATGTATATGTATATGTATATATGCAAGTACATGTACATTTGGAGGCCAAGGGTCAAATTTCATAGGAGGGTATCATTTCATAGGAGCTGTCCATCATACTTTTGAGACAGGGTCTCTCAGTGGGTCCTGGAGCTTACCAGTTAGGATAAGCTGGCTCCCTGCAAGTCCCAGGGCCTGCCTGTCTCTGTCTCCCCAGAGCTGGAATTACGTGCATAGGTTACCATACTAGTCTTTTCCCCGGGTTCCGGGGCTCAAACTCAGATCCCCATGCTTGCACAAGGACTTTTCCAACTGAGCATCTCCCCAGCCCCGCCTCCCCAAATCTCACTTTAAACACAAAGGCTCAGATTAAAGTGAAAGAGAAGGGCATGATATATATATATATACACATACCTTTTGTAACTCAATTGGAAGACAAACAACCAAACAAGGAAACTGGCAAAGGGTTTGGATAAACACTTTTAACCACCACAGAAAAAGAATAGGGGTAGCCGATAAGCACACTAATGATTCAGAAAGTGTAAGTTCAAATCACAGGGAGATATCATTATACATCTACTAGGATGTCTGTGATCCAAAGGACAGACAATACAACATGTCAGCAAATATGTGGAGAAAACTGGGGTCCTGCTGAACTACTAGGGAGACTGGAAAAGGTCACAACCTCTTTAGTAAACAACCTGCAGTTCTTGAAACTCACCAGGAAGTCCATAATTCTACCCCCAAGGACCCCATCCAGGAGAAACGAAAAGATCCACCCATACCACAATTGTACGAATACTGTTCACAAGTC